AAATTTGATAGCTAATCTTTAATGGTTCAATTTTTAGGATAATTCGAACAATTTTACAAATAACTCGTTTGGCAACAGTTTACTAAAGTTATTTGGGCAATGAGTTATTTTGAAATAACTCCTTTTATCACTATGCTTTTGCCAAATACCACACGCCAAATACCAGATTTGCATGGTTATACTAAACGAGATACTTTAATCCAATTACTACTGAATTACTACTAAAATATCAAATAAACAATTAACGGTGTCTTTTGGTTGCAAATATTGATATCACCATTACTATTAGCTATAATACTTTACCTATTATGATTAATAACATAACAAGTTTGCAAGTCATACAAATTGATTTAACATTTTGACTAGTTTTTTTCAAAAAAATAAAGTATATATATACGAGGTAGAAATAAATTGGTTAAAAAGTAGATAAAATATTTTAAATTAGTGTAATAAAATGTGTTAGTTGGTAATGAGTAATGAGTTAAGTTACTTGATGCGCTAGCCCGAACAACCCGAAACCCGACCCGCCCGCAACCCGCCCGACCCAAAACCCGATGAACCCGCAACCCGATTAGCCCACAACCCGATTGAATCCGAACCCGATAAACCCGCAACCCGACTAACCCGCAACCCGTTTGAACCCGAACCCGATGAACCCGCAACCCGACTAACCCGCAACCCGTATGAACCCGAACCCGATTGAACCCAGCCCGAACCCGCCCGATTGACACCTATAGTGGCAAATGTGTAAAGTTTGTATAATTTCAGTGACCAAAAGTATAATAGTAAAAAATAAAATAATAATAATAATAATAATAATAATAATAATAATAAAGGAGAGGAGATGAGATTTCATTATTTCAACTTCCCTCTCTAAAAGTGGTCTCATCCCCTCCCAGTCCCCCGCTACTCCGCTCCCTCCTTCCCCGCCTACAGATTCAATTTCCTCTTCCGTCCCTAAAAGCTTCTTCTTCTCTCTTTGCTGACTTTACTCCCATCAGCAGCACCTGTTGCCCTCTTCAGTCTCATCTGGAGGCCGCGCATTTCATAAGCGGGGTTGCTTTTCTCTCGTTAACGGGTTACGAATTTTTCGCATGGTAGCGGTACGTGGCATTTCTTGTTTCCGTTTGAAAATCCTCTCTTTCCTGTCGCTTCCCCCCATTTCCTCTTCCCGCTTCATTGGAATGGCATACTGCTCCAAAAGTTTCAGTCTTGGCTCTTGGGAACTGAATGCTCGTTGTAATTACTGGGTATCGATTGTTTTGTGCGGATTTAGGGTTTCGAATGTGGCGGAATTAATCTTGAGTTCTTTTTCTCCATTTTGATGAATTGGGTCTGTGAAGAGTTTCACGAGGCTAGTAGGAGTAGGGTTTTAGGTTTTGAGTGGGAGAATGGGAATCTTCCTACTTGAGGATTACGCTGAGTTGCTTTTTCTTCGGTGGTCCGGAATTGTGGTTTACTCGGTAAGACGAATTTCTTGAAGCATGTCTTAACTATGCATGCCTCTTTAGGTCTGGATTTTGAGAATTGGGTAATTTGGCTTTCTATTCTTCATATAATTTTGGCTTTTGATATGCCTGACAGTGTCTTCTGAGAGAAATTCAATTGGATTTTAGGACAAGTTAGGCAACCAGATAATTTTTGTTCGTTGCTGATTTAGATACTTTTGCAGAATGTGTGATCCAGGTTGGTATGAGTTTCTTTTCACGGTGCTTCACGCCATCATGCTACCTGTATTTGTGAATATTGTTAGTTACTGATAAATGATTGTTTGCACCCTATGATAATAGGATCAAACAGGAGCAATATTTTCTGCAGGACCGACTACCAGCTGTAGGTTGTTCCACGTATCTTGGATTTCATCTTGATATGGAAGCCCAAATTCATAACCTCGAGCAAGAAGCTTACAGTGCAGTGCTACGTGCTTTTAAGGCTCAATCTGATGCTCTTACCTGGGTACTGCTATTCGTTCCCACTATATACCCACATTTTTATGAAAAAAGAATAATTTGACCTTGAAGTTGTCTCATTTAGTGCCCTCTCTTGTATTTTCAGGAAAAGGAGGGTTTGATTACTGAACTTCGCAAAGAGCTCCGGGTATCAGATGATGAGCACAGAGAGCTTCTCTCCAGAGTTAATGGGGATGATGTCATCCTTCGTATAAGGTTTGTATGCTTCTTGTCTACGGCTGGACCCATGCAATTATAGTAGTCCGAGTAAATGGATCATGACTTGCTGCTATTTCAGGGAATGGAGAACTACAGGTGGGAATGAATCTACTAGGTTTGTCCCACCAAGAGGTCATGACATGGTACCCAGCCCTACCATCTCCGGTGCCCGTAAAAGACAGAAGATATCTCAAGGGGTATTTTCCTTTGGATTGATATGGTTTCCTTTGATTTTGAATCAATTGCTCATAGCCAGGTTCTCGATTAACTCTCATTTTGTTGTGATTTTTGCTTTACAGGGTCATGCACTTCCTACTTTATCCTCTGTGAAGGCTATGCAGCTCCCCTCACAGTTTGCTACTCGACCTAGGTACTTTACTACACACAACTCCCGCAGCTCTTCTGGTGCACCTGTGGTTGATGAACCTCCTGAGGCACTGCTCGGACGAAAGGTTTGGACTAGATGGCCTGAGGACAACCACTTCTATGAGGCTGTCATAACTCAATATGACTCTTCTCAGGTATGTACTAGAATCTTGAACTGTTGCTTTGATGGTGCTGTAATTCTTGATGGGATACATATATTGCTATATATATTCATGCGTGTAGGCCTGCTGTAAATGTGTTAAGTGAATAAGGCTGCTGGAATTTAGGAAGAAGTTCATGAAATTATGGGTTGAAGAACTGCCACACCAATGTGTGATTATGTCCGGTAGCTCTGCACCACAACCTAGGTTGATATGACTATAGAATGACGAGGACCAACTCTTGCAAATTCTCTAAATGTTCGATTGAAATCTAATATGACCTCTCATTACCATAGAACTAACCTCCTTAAACAGGAGTAACAAACTTAATACACAACTACTTTTTCTAATAATAATTTCCTTATATAGTGACTAGTGGAATATTATCTGATGGTTTATGTGAGTCCCTTACCAATTGACTGGTCTAAACGTGATTAAAGCCTTCCTTAGTAAGTCATATACCAGTTCCCTGCTCCTCAAATGTTAATCCTAATCAATTAACTGTTTGCTACTACTGTTTTTTTATGGCTTCTCTGTGTTTTTGTTAGCTAAAAATTTCTTTTCAATATTTAATGCTTGAAGGCCCGGCATTCTCTTGTGTATGATATGGGCACAAAGAACGAGACATGGGAGTGGGTTGATCTGAACGAGGTGATTAACAGTGCTGAGAATAATCCAGACCTCTACTGACTACTATCATTTATTTTGTTTGTCAGGCTTTTTCTATGGTTATTTCCAATCTCTCTTTCACGTTGAATTGGGAAAATATGTGCATATTTCTGTTGGCAGATATCTCCTGAGGATATACGATGGGACGGAGAGGATCCAGCAATTCTGTATCGTGGTGGACAAGGTGGCAGTGGTAGCCGAGTGATGAGGAAACCCATAAGCCATGGCGGTTTTATCCCACCGGGCTCCATTCCAGTGCAGGGTTATCGAAAGTTCCCCTCCAGAATGGAGCTTTTAGCAGCACGCAATGGCTTTGCTGCAAAAGTTTCTGATGATATTGAATTACTGAACACCGAGACACTAGTTAAGGAGGTAACAAAACTGGAACTCTTGAGTTTTTCGACACAAGTTTACACCACTAATTTGCTCCCTCATCTTTATCTGATCTTTTTTACAGGTTGAAAAGGTTTTCGGAGTTAGTCAACCAGATCCGATTGAGCTTGAGAAAGCCAAAATGATGCTAAAAGTACGATTGATTTATGTGCCTACAGTATTTTTTCTTACTATTTTATGCTCGCTGGCTGAAAACTCGTGGTTTTTCTATGATGTAGGAGCAGGAACAGGCACTTTTGGATGCAATCGCAAGGCTTGCAGATGCATCTGATGGCGAAAGTGGTAAATAGCTATGTTGGTTGTTCTCTCCATTTTGGCATAAGTATATTAAGTAACAACTGACTTATTCCTACTTAAGCGGTGTTACCCTATACCATTCATTTATAAGATCATATTTCAAATTCATCGAAGTAATGTGTTCGCCTCTTTCAAGCTTCGGGCTTTTTTTGGTTCTGGGTATTTTCTGGCGCTCACATCCTGACTTCTTATCTGGCCTTCCAACGTCTTCAACCTCTTGGGGGTGAACTATGTCCCAAGATAAAGCTTCGGGGTTTAAAATTAACGAACTCTTTATCAAACTGCATTGTAATTGGATACCTCATGTAGATTGCATGAATGCACTTGAAGCTCGTATTAATTTCCTGACAGAGAAGGAACATGTCCCCCTCGATATTGTTTTATAAACCAAGTTGTTTTTGTGTTGGAATCAGACGGGGAACAGCACTTCTTACACGGGCAACCAATGGAGCGTTAGTGTGGTTTGAAGATACCATTTCACAGGAGTCAGAAAAGATGTCTTGCTGAAAGCAGCACCTGATGAGGCTGTAGAACTGGAAATTGAGGGAGAAGGAAAAGGTTAAATCAACCATCGCTGGTGGTTGGCTGCCAGTTTTCCTTTAATCTTCTAACCTGTTGGATTGTAAAGAATTTCCTCTGTTTCCTTCCACCTTGTATCATACCCCGTCATTTCCATTTAACATCTTGTTCTGCAGAACGAGATTTGTAGTTAGGATTAGTCAGGATAAGGAATGTTCAGGGGAAACCTTCGCTAATCTAGATTTGTACAACTGCCCATGGCACGCAATAGAGAATTTGACCTAGAATCATTCTGATATAAGCTGAACTCTATAATGTCTCAGATATAACTCTGTTTTTCTCTTAACCCAGAGCCCAAAGAACGTTACTTCCATTCCATGATTGAGTATTGCGACTTTCATACAGGAAAAGAAAATGTCAATCAGTTTTATAGCGTTTCATGGAACTCTAAAATCAAATTGACCATGACGGAATCAAAAGCAGGGCCTTCTACTTCAAAATGACCAGCTCCTTGTATTAGATGCATCTCTGCTCTGCCATCGCAGCTCTTCACCTTGCTCTTAAGCTGCCGCACGCTCGTGAACCAGTCTGCACTCCCCATTATGAACAGCTTCGGCTTCCTTGCCTTCAACGTTGGCTTGTAGTGCTTTCCGAACAGAAACGAAGCTGCCAAGCCGAAAGGATAGCCTATGCTCACGTATCCCACTACTTTCTCCAGGTGATCCAGCGCCGAGCCAGCAATTGGAGCTCCTACGAACATAAATCAAACGAGACGAGACAGAGTAAGAGTTCCCAATCCTCGACGAATCAAACAGCGCGCGCGACCAATTGATACGCGGTGTGTGCAGTAATGGGTAGAGAGGTACCTGCGGATGACCCGACAAGCAAGATCCTGTCGACAGGCAAGTTGTCGGAAACCCAATTGCAGACAGCGACAACATCCTCGATTTCGGGGATTCCGGTAATGGAAGACTTGCCGGTTGATCTTCCGACACCTCTCATGTCGAATGTGACCGCGGTAAGCCCTTTGATGGAGAGCCTGGAGGCAATGCCGTGCATGATGACCTGGCAGCCGCCGAGTTTCGAGTAAGGATGGACGAGAACCACCGCGGTGGCGGCTTGGGCGGAGGCGGAAGGGGAAGGGGAAGGTTCAGCGGTGGTGGGGGTGGGCTTGAAGAGCCTGGCATGGAGAACGATCCCGTCTCGTGTGGATACGAAGCATGACTCCATGGCGCTCCTCGGAGGTGTCATCGATGACGACGAAGAGGAGCCTCTGGAGAGATTCGAGAGGGCTGTCGCCATGGATTCCCTTTTTTGTTTTTTTTTTAATATGAAATGTTACATGGAGAGGTGTTACGTTCTTTGGGGTGGTTTTGAGAGGTTTTTGCTGTTGTTCAAGGATGGCGGGAAGGGAGTGGGTTAAGGATGTTTGGTTTGGAAGGTTTGGTGATGATATTATATGGGTTCTATTCTAAATTTTTAATACGGGGCAGGATGCTAAATAGTTTATTAACGGATTGTGCTATAAATTGGTTTCTACAGTTAATGTGAGGGAGAAACTGACTGAACAGATTGTGTTAGTTTCGGGGGGAAATTAGGAACAGGAATTTGCAAGGCTAGAATGAGGATTTAGTGAAGTTGAAGAACATGTAGGTACAAATAGAAGCGGATGTTAGCTTAACGATTTTGTTTTAAGGAAAGGTGCGGGCATTCTACAAAATAAAATAAAAGATAGAGAAGAACATTTCAATTTTATTCCTTATATAGTCTAGGTTTTTATTCGATCACTTTGGTTGTTTGCATTTAAGGGAATTAAATATTTTTGAAGCCAATACTTATATTTTGAGAATTAATATTAAATTATATTTTATTACATTCCATTTAACTCAAATATCAATTATTGGTGTGAATAACACGCTTGTATATACTCCTAGTTATTTTGGATCGATCATTATGAATTCCTAAAGACAAATACTTTATCATAGAACGTTATTTCATCCTTGTGTTATATATCAGAATTTTGTTTCAATTTCAATACAATTAATTCAATGTTTAAAAATTAGGGAGATTATTATTCAAGTGATTAGGAAAAAATGAAAAAGGGCAAATGAAGTAACAAAGATGATTGAAAATGTCTTGTTTATCTTTACAATTCACATAATTCTCTCTTCGTTGCCTCCTTATTTGAGATTTTGTTTGCTCTCGGGAGAAGCTTATGTTGTCTTATAATCTGATCGTTGAATGAATTAGAGCCATAAATGCCATTTATATTAGATTGGGAAGGAGTACTAATAAAATTGACGAGGCAAAGTTGAACCCTATCACTTTTATTCTTATTCTTCATTGGAGTAGTAGATTTAGGGGATGAGTTAGCATGCTAACTAGGAATGTGAATGATTTGTTTAAATCATTCTCATCCCTATTTTCAAATATACAAATTCATTCTCGCCTCATATCCATGCGGAAAATGTTTTGCAAATCCATCCTCATACTCGTGGGTTTCAGGTACCCATGAGTAATACCTGTCCCCATACATCCAACATTATCATACCAAAAATTTAGAAGAATTTTTTTAATTATAACTCTAAACCAATCTATTATATCATTAAGTCAATAAAACACGGTGATTTCTTAATATGGTTCAAAAAATATGATTCTTAAACATCCATTAATACATAATATAGAGTACAATATTTTCCAAATTATTATGCTCTAACTCTGATCATCTACTAAGTAATAATTAACTAACATAATCTTGTTGACAAGGGGGAAATGAAAGAGTGAAGAGAGAATTGAGGGAAATAAATTAGGTTTTGATTAGGGTGACCACCCAATTGCATTTCTAGTTTTCTACTATTTATTTCTTGAGTTATCCTCATTATCATTGATAGATTACAATTTCATTCACATATTTTTTATAATTGAAGAAATGCTCTTGGTGGGGGAGGTATTGATATGAGTATGGGGTGGGGGAGGCTAAAATCATACTCGTCCCATATCCATCAAAAAAATTTGCGAGTTTTACCGATACCCGATCAAAGTGGGGATTCCCCGCGTTTACTGGATCGGGAGCGGTTGGATACTCGCAAGCATGGGTTTGATTGACATCCCTAATGCTAACCTGTGAAAGGTTTGCAAATTGACAGCCCCTTCCTATACCATTGGATGCCTTTTTTTCTTTCCTAAATTTTTTTAAATTGAATGACAAGATGGGTTGGGAGTAGGGACAGGTTACAGTGATTACTATTTTATAGTAACCACCGTGGTTACTAAGGACAAATTGGGTATAACAAAAAATTTATTATGATCTTTTTTTAATAAATTATCTTTTAGGAAATTACATAAATATATTAAATACAATTTTAATCTCTATCTTTCTCTCACTTCGACAATTTTTCAGCCAGATTTCTCTTCCTTCTTTTTCTCAATCTTTCCTTGATTTCGTTCATCCAAACTAATACCGCTGCAACAAAAAAAACAATAAATCAATACCAATCCATTAAAAAATACTACCATTGTACAAAACATCAATACCATTCGAGAAATAAAAACACTACCATTTCACAAAACATCAATACCATTGCAGATTTAATCACTACCAATGCGACAAAATCAATACCAATGTAACAAAATCAATACCAATGCGACAAAATCAATACCAATGCGACAAAAATAATACCAATGCGACAAAAACAATACCAATACGACAACAACACTACCACTACAGGAAAAAATGACTACCATTTAAAAAAATCACTACGAAAAAAAATGACTACCATTAAACAAAAAACATACCAATCCGACCGGAACGACAGCCCTACGCGCACGGAACGACGAGTCCAATCGGGGGCGACAAAGATGATGGAACAAACGGCGGAGGTTGCGCCGTTAACCATGCCAATGTAATTACTGTGACTCACGAAATTGAGACCCTTGGGCAAGTAGGAGAAAATGTGGAGCAGATCTGCAAGAACAGAGCACCAATTTGATTAGAATCGGAAGAATTGCAGATTCCTCATTGTAGTGAGTGAAGAAAAGTTACCATCTTGGGTAACAAGAGGGTAATCATCAGCTCCCAGGCGAACAAACCAATCCCAATTCTTGGACAACTTCAGCAACACCAATCCCAATTCTTGGACAACTTCAGCAACAGAGACGCGCCGTGTAAAGTAGCCGCAACCGGCGACGACCCTCGCCGGTATGCAAATTCCGGCTTCCCAATCACATCTACATTCTGGGCAGCCCAGAAAATGGGGACCGATTCGACGGTCGGGCCAGCCGTTCCAGCTCGGCCGGCTCGGTGGAGGGGTCGAGGTGGACAAGTAGCGGTTTTTTGGGTGGTAGACGGCATAGAGGAGGCGGAAGATCCGATTGGAGTCGCCTTTCGATCTGGTGATCAGGTAGGCGACGGAAGGCGGTGCGGCATCGACTGTAGAAGTAGGGTTAGAGTAGAATATATAGAATAATCCAGTGTGATCTTTTTTTTTTCTTCCAAAATTATCCTGAGGTAATCTTAACCGTAAGATTAAAAAAAGAGGAAAGAGAAGAAAATAAATGGTGGATACCTGATGTACCCATTGTGGCTACTAAAAATTCAGTCACCACTCTAACGCATTCCATTGGGAGTAACTTTGAAAGCAAAACTAGTAACGCATGGGAATGCAATCCCCTTCCATACATAAGATTTTCCATATTCCAAACTCTCCCTCAAACTCTAAACTATCTGCCCCTCATTCTCTTTCTCTCAGCCTCCCCTCTGATGGCCGATCACCTTGTTGTTGTCGCCTCCCCCCTTCCCCCCGACGTGGTCACTTTTTTCTCTCTTCCCCTCTCTCCCTTCGGCCCTTACCATTCGCCGCCTCTGTCCTGACTCTGTCTCCAAATTCATCTCTCCCCGACGTACAAGGCGATGATGAACCAGTTTCCATCCCTATATGATAACTTCATCTTCTCTCCCATTTCTGTTGCACCATACTCTTCAACTTGGTACTCACTTCAAAACTACAACATGCAGTTTATTCCTTTTGTTTTTCTAGGGTTCTCTTGAGTTGTGTGGTATGAATTGGTACTGTTCTGCCCTCTCAGGTTTACATAGCAGTATTGGTATTTATTCTACTCTATTGGTAGTGTTTTATAATCCAACAGTACCTTTTTAATGCACCGATAACTTTTGAAATGACAATGTTCATATTCCACTGGCAAGCTTTTTTCGCTACTGGTACTAATTTGAGTCTACCGATAATTATTAGGTTTTTTTTGTGGTACCGGTATTGGTCTAGTGGTACTGATATGGGTCTTGTGTGGTAATCTTTTCAGTCTACTAGTAAAGCTAAATTGGTAATGGTTTGTCATCACTACTGGTATTGGTTTTGTGTCCAGTGGTATTTATTTGGGATTTTTTCGGTATTGGACTAGTGGTGATTCTTTTTCACCATAGTAGTACTATTTTTCATTTAGTGGTACCAATTTACATAGAGTGGTTAACTTATTATTGCATAGATAAGTTTTTTATTCGATTAGTAATGTTTTGACTCCATTGGTAGCGTTTTTCAAAACTAATATCTGAATGGGAGTAGGTGACTGGAAGAAGATGGCCAGAGGAAAGTGGTAGAAAGAAATCTGTTGGAGAAAAGAAGAGAGGCAGAAGTGAGAGAGAAATATAATTAATGTAAGATTATTAATTCATAAATTGTAATTTCTATGGGGTTTTAGTTCAAAAAAAAAAAGTAAATGTAAGTTTTTAATTCCTAAAATGTAATTAATATGAATAATTTTTTCATTTCCATTTTTTCCCTTGCTTCTCTCCTTAAGAGATTGGCACCGTATCTCGTCCCCCATATTAAGGAGCTTTAAATTGTGGAAGCCACCAAATGGGATTTGGGATAACAAAAGTCATAGGATCTGCTCTTGAGATGAAAGCATCAAATGAGAATACAACTGAGCAGAGCATAGATCTACTTTAAAATATGAGACAGAGTATTATAGAGACTAAACAATCAATTGGTCAAGTCATTGATCCATACCACCTAAAAAGAGTTATTGCTACCTCATTCAAAGAGAATATAAACAATGAAGAGAGTGGAGGTCATTCTGCATATGTGCTTATCAGAAAATCTCGAATTGGGTGGGTTTTATAGCAGATAGAAACTCTTCAAACCATATTCATACCTATTGTCCTTTCTAAGATAATATCTTATTGGAGATGGATATAACCTCATTAGTCACAAGCGCATAGGCATTGAGTACAGAAAGTCAAATCGTCACCTCCATAAGAGGCAGATGAATTTCCATGCTTATTGGAA